GTTTGACTTTCTCGTAAGACTCTGAACAAATACTAATATTTAAAAATTTTATTTTTTCAAAAATTTGTCCGGTATTAAAGTATAATTTAAACCTCACTATTAGATAAATAAGGACTTCAACTATTAGAAAAAAATTTAATTTACTCATAATCTAATATTTTTTATTTTACATTGGCGGCGAAAGGACCTCCTTAAACGTGGTTAAGGTTATATTGTGCAAATGAAAATGTAAACAATCGAAGTACAGCGTTGCCAAATCACGGACAGATTACTTGCAGCTGTTTTGAAAGAGTCAAATTAATTTTTGTATTTAACTATTTTTTTTTTTTTTTTTTTTCAAAGTTTCAACGATTCATATACCATATACTATTTATTATTTAATTTTAGGAATTTTTATGGGTTTCTTTTTTTAATTTATCGTATATTGACTACTACAATTGTTTTGACTCAACTGGAGCGAAAGGATTTCCTTAACAACTCCAAAATTAAAAAAAATATAATTTACCTATGTTGTAAAAAGACAATCAATAAACAAAACTGACCACAATGATAGTACTTATACTTGTACTTCAATATCACATATATATGAAAATAAAAGTTTTTGAGTACAAAAATAATTTATTTATTATTAACACAAACAATTGTCAGCCACTTTACAAATTTTTATTTATAAAGATAACACGATTTTCAAGGTAGCCGTTTTTAACCTACAAGAAATTAAAAAACATGTGCTTAAAAGTCTTTATAAAATAGTTTTAATATAATCAGGGTCCTGAATTCAAGCGACACCTGGTAGACAAAGTTCAGTTTTTTGTACGTATAGTTTCCGTCTCTGTTCTCTATAGTGTCGCACTACAGAAAACAGATGAATAAAAAAAATATCAACATCAAATGTCATAGTAGATTTCCTGATATAAATTTAATTATCAGTTGAAAGAAATTTTTTAATAAAAGTAAGGTATCATCGACATATATGAATAAGTATGTATTAACATGTACATATTATACATTAAGTGTTTGACAGTTAATAAAATCTGATTAATTTACACATTTATCTGTGTGTGTCTGTGTGTGTAGTGTAGGAGAATGAGGCGCCAATGTGAAACGTGGAACCTTGGCTCATACTTATCACAAATGAAACAATAAATATTTTTATTTAGTGGTGATATTGTCCATACAAAAGTTAATAACGAGTGGATGTTGTTAAATAGTTAATAAGTTATTTATTTAAAATGCCTTCAAGACGAAATAATGAAGGCCTTTTGGCCAGGGTTAATTTTCCTCTTTATACAATTCAGATGTTGACTAATAGACACGTTCTCGTTGGAGGTGGTGGAGGATCATCTAAAACAGGAGTAGCTAATGGATTCGTATGTATTTTTTTTTATTTTACATTTACACATTTTACTTATCATGGTACTGTTATTTATTTAGTATTTTTTATCCTAAATTTTGTTATAGGAAATATTTGAATTGTCTCACGATGGTTCAAATTTTATTGCTGAAGAAGTTACCAGACATGAAACAGGGCCTAGTGTTGTCATGAATTGTGCCTCATTTAATAATAGTAAAAAGACCTGGCTGGTAGCTGGTCAAGAAAGTCATTGTCAATTATACAATGTTGTTCCAAGAGTTGTGGCAGTTGAAAATGGAGAAGTTGTTGCAGGAGCAAATTCCAATTTCAAAGAGAATGACAACAGCTTACGGCAACGAAAATTAAATGAAAAAAAAGGAAATTCTAGCTCCAATTCGAACACGGAAAAAGTTGAGAACATACGTGACAGTAATTCTAATATAAAACACAAAAAATTACAATTAATTCTTAAGCCTTCTACAAGTATTCAAACGGATTTTAGGTATAATTTTTCATAAAATTAAAAGTTATTTTTAATTGATTAAAATATACTCTGTAATTTTTAGCGAACCAGAGCCACTGCAAAGAATAGTTAGAGTAAGTTCTAATGGCAAAGTGATGGCAACTGGAGGATTGGATGGAGTTATACGATTATGGAAATTTCCTCAATTCGAGAAGATGTATGATTTAAAAGCTCATACTAAAGAGGTTGATGATATAGATTTCAATATAAATGGTAAATTTGTTGCAACTATTGCTAAGGATAACCGAGCGTTTGTTTGGAACGTTGTTGAGGGTAAAAAGTATAAAGAACTTTCGTGGGTTCCACCTAATGGTGCAAAATATTTGTTTAAAAGACTCAGATTTAAAATTCCCAATGAAAAAAAATCTGCAACACAATTATATATGCTCTCAAATGCAACATCATCTAAACTTCCCAGTTATCTTCAATTATGGGATGTTGACCAGGGTATAATAATTAAATCAGCGCCTTATAAAGAAACATTATCGGCAATTGCTGTCTCAGATGACGGAAAATTTGTCGCAGTTGGTACAATGTTCTCTGGAAGTATCGATATTTATATTGCCTTTAGTTTACAAAAAGCTTTACATGTATCGGGTGCTCACAGTATGTTTGTTACGGGTTTAGAATTTTTGCCTACTACATTGGATGGTCCATCAATAACGAGTAATTCAGAAACTGCTGTTGTTAGTATTTCTGTTGATAACAGAATTTGTATTCATAGCATTCCTTTCAGACGTAAGTATTTTAAATTGTATTATCAGTTAATTTATTTTTTAATTCATGAGAAATATAAATATATTTTTGTTGTGTTTTTCAGATGCGTTGCCGTTTTGGTTGGTAACATTATTAATTATTTTAAGTATCTGTGGAGCATTTATTTTTTGTAGTTATATGGGTATATGACCAAAAATATTTATTTCAAGATTAGCTATTGAATATGCAATGATTGACAGAGTCTATTTTATTGACTAATTTAATTTATTACGTACGCACCATAGGTAATTTAGATACAATTAAATCTTTCAAGAAGTGGTAAATCAAATATTAATGTAAAAATCGATATTTTATGTTGTAAATTATTTGGTTAAAACGTGATACTTATTGAGGATGACTCAACAATTTTCTTTTTGCAGGGATACATTAATTTACCAATTGTTATAATATACAAATAAAATTGTTAAATATTCTCGACAAACCTTCATTCAAGTATATTTTTATAAATAATTTTAATATATTTTGTCAACACATAGATTAAAATATTTGTCGACTTGTTGCGTTAGTACCAATTTCTTTTTACTTGACTATTATTAGTCAAAATATTGCTCATACTTGTTGTGCTTTCATTCGTTAGTAATGTATGTATATTTAAATGTTTTTCTGATCTGTCATTTTGTGTTAAAACGAATGTTTTTAGTAATGTATGTATATTTAAATGTTTTTCTGATCTGTCATTTTGTGTTAAAACGAATGTTTTTTTTCTTTTTTTTTTTTTTATTGTGAATTGAAAATAGTTAAACAAATTTTAAAAGTTAATAATAACACAGCTTAATGATTCCATTAGCGGAATAAACAATTCATAAATTTTACAAAGTACAAATTTTTTTAATCTAAAGTTTGATTACTGATTACTTCAATAACTTTGTATTCTTATCAGTTGTAATAACTGAGTTTAAATTGTAGTTAAAAATATATTATTAAATTATAAAATAAGAAAGTTTAACTGAGTTACTCTATATTATTGTAAATCATTGTTTTGGTAAATATTTAAATAATAAATTATGAAACTACAGTCTGCAGAATTTTCAGATAAATATAAGCTGTCCTATTTCATTAAAAAGACTTTTGTGTAAATCTAATAATTATATTGATTTAAGGTAAAAGCCCCAATAGATGATCATGTACCAGTATATGATCATCTATTGGGGCTTTTACCTTATTATGAAGTTTTTAAAGGATATTTTTTTTTCTTAAATATTTAATTACATCTACAGGAAATGAAGGTTTAAAAAAATCATACCAAAATTACAAATTTAATATGAACGTTTTATTTAATTTATTAATTTAATATCATTTTGTAGTACTTTGAATACTTTCATCTTCTTTCTTAAATATCTTAAAAATGTTCATTACTTTCTAATTTAATTCTATTTCACAATGAAATTTCTATGCTTTCATTTTACAAACGTTTGACAATATTCATACTTAAATTTATTATTCTATTCAAGTAATAAAATAATTGATGGCATTATTATTAAAATTTTTTATTTTTACTGCACATTATCTTTCTATATAAAACAAAAAATATGATGCGAATGTTCGTCGGTGGATATTATTTACAAGGTAGTCGTGAGGACGTTTTTATTAAAGTTTCATCACATTTTCAAGACTTATTATCTGATGACCGATTGAAATGAATTATAATATCTTTACCTAAATTTATTTTTTTAATTAGCATTGAATCCATCCCCAGTAGGATCAAGGAGCCAAGGATAATTATTGGGGCACTCCATACATGTAAAGAGACGAAGAGTTTCACCTGGAAGTTCTCGAGTGGTTAAAGGACATGCGTTTGGTAAAGAACAGTAGGGTTGTCCTTTTTCATCACAAGTTTCTTTCCAATCTGCGAAATCTTTTATTGCTGTTAGTTCAGTAGGGGTTTGCATCCACTTGATAACCTGATAATTAAATATTTAAAAAAATATGTTATTTTCAAATTTTCAAATATATATATATATATATATATTAATTGTCAATATTAAAAAAAGTAGAATAAAAAAAAAAAATATAAAATAAAAGTACACAAACCTGAACCATGGTAACAAAATATACATCATTTTTCGTTAACATTTCTTCAATAAATTTAATAAGTTCATCTTTGAATTCTTTTTTACTCTTAAGCCAAGATGCGTGGAAATGAAGACCAAGAGGAGCACGGTTGGAATTGTAATGCCTGTTGAAGTTATGTCTGAGTAGTCTTCCGAATTGGTCACCAGCTTGAACGTTTGAGCATGAATCTACCATGTGACAACCAGGAAGCGATTCATCAAATGTTGGATCATCACGACGATCAAGTTCATTCATAACCATTTCCCAAACTGGATGGGATCGTGATGGACAGTTGCCACCGTTACCATTACATTTGTGTGGCATTCTGAAGTAAAGAGTGTAAGGCCAGATTGGAACACGGCCAAGTGAAGCAGTAATTGAAGCATCATAAACGAAAAATTGATCAGCCATCATTTCAAATTGTTTGTTACCACCGACTCTGAGGTAAGGAGCTCTTACACCAATAATAGACCCGTCAGTTATATTTGCGAAACGTTCAATAATCAACCTGGCACCAGCCATTTCAGCAAGCCAATCATCGTAACTTCCTTGGGTCCAATACTGTGGATCGTCTTTGTGGGTTAATGAGAATATTGATATCTCATTACCTTTTCTATGCAAATCTTGAACAGCTGAATAGTTTGTGTATTTGTGTGAAACAAAGAACGTTCCACGAATTGTGCAACCATTTGGATTATGACGTTGTCCATTGAAAATTTCCTCATAAAGATCGATGTTGTCAATATTAACAGCTCCATTGAAGGTAATTGTTATCATTTGAGGAACTTGTGATACTTCAATATTTCCAGGAATTCGTGTACCATCAGCGGAACAGTAACAGTCGGGAAGTTGACATTGACTGGGGTCACAGTCCGGTGCGCGGTTGGGATCCGTCTCCACAGCTGAAAAAGGCAATTTCATTTTATGTCCTCATTTTACAATGTTATTATTGAAGTAATCAGTGGTCATTATTTAATATAATTTGACTAGTTGTACAAATTAAATTATTCATTTCATATTGTATATTACTCTATAAATTTAATATATGAAGATCAAGTTAGCCGACATTTAAAAATTGTTAGAATTTTTTTTTATTGAAAAAATTATTACAAAAAAATTAAAAAAAAATGTCACTTGTAAAAAACTTGAAAAACTGTAAGTGAAATTTTTTAAAAATATTTTTTTGTTTTAATTTAATTATTAAAAAAAAAATCAAATAATTAAAAACGTCGGCTAACTTTAGTATCATAAATTTAATATATTGTTTACTTTTAATAAAAATGAAGTGAGATGTCTTTCCTTAAAATATTTTAATAAGTTTAAACTGTGAGTTAATTTCTTTTTGAACAACTGTGATGGAAAAAAAATATATAAGTTTATAAATTCATAATTATAATTTTATAACTTACTACATGCATTTTCGTCGGACTCATCTTTACAATCTGGTTTTCCATTACAGAAAAGCTCTTTGTCGACACACTCGCCATTACCACAGGAAAGTTTTCCTTCAGGACAAATAGGCTCATCGGTCTTTAGAATTGGAAGAATTTTACGTGGCTCTGTGAAGATCATGTAATGATTATTAGGTATTAAAATTTAATTATTAAATCTGCACTACGGCAATTGTATCCAAGACCCGACTCCATACGATTTTGCCCTTTAACTGTACACTACTTATAACACACAGGTTCTTAAGACGATCTAAATAAATTATTACTTCATTTTACATTATCTATATAGGAAAAAAAGTGTGAGTGTGGTGTCTGTCATTTATTTTCTAACAATTAATCATTTTAGTTTATTTATTTATTTATTTATTTATTTATGACCCGCTTTATCTTGATTCTCTTCGCTTTATCTTGAAAAAACATAGTATTTGCGCGGTATAACATAATTTTTCCGTATAAATAAAATAAAACTTTTTTTTTTTTAGACTCAGTCAAGTAGAACGGGTACTATTTCATACGACTCACGACGACGCCCGCGCTGAGAAAGATGCCGTAAGAGAAAGCTTTCTTTTTTAATTGCCTTTTTCTGGTTATTTAAGAGGAAATATTTTCAAAATCTTTTTTACTTTATTTAAAAAAATTTTTTATTGTTACACAGAAAAGCAAAACAGAGCAGCAAAGAGTAGTGGGTGATAAAAAAGTATTTATTACTTGAGTTTGATACGGCTTTTTTTTCAATTTTTTTGTAGCAATGAAAAAGAGAAAAGTGATACAAGTTGAATATAATATGACAAAAAATATTTTTATTTTTTTTATGAAAAAAAAATATTAAAGTAAAATGATGTAAAGTTTACATTTTTTAAATGAAATATGAACAAAAAAATGAGAAATATATTTTTTCGATTAATTAGAAAAAAGTAACGGCAAAAGATAATTTAAAATGTATGTTAATTGTGTGGATAAATGCAAAAAGCAGATAGTGTATAGAAAAAGTTGTTAGTTAATCTAACATAAGAGAAGCAACCAAAATAGGATAAGCAGCTAGAGAATGTATAAAAATTGAAAGTTTTAAGCAAAAATAATGCGAGTGAAATTAGGACAGTGTGAAAGCGATTAATTATAAAATCATCATATCACTAAAATGGTTAAATAAAAATGTAATTAACTATTAGAAAGCAACAATAACATAGCTAGTTGTTAGCTTATATGTGATGAAAAAAAAAATCAAGCAGTCGAGAAATAAGTAATTATCACAAATGACTTAGATGTTTTCATATACTAGAAAATCGAGTGTCAAAATGTAAATTATTGACAATTTAATTAATCAATATTTTTACAAATTTTATTCATTAATATTTAACCGTTGCCATGGTAACTGTTGCCATGGTAACCGTTGCTAAAGTAGAAACTATAGCAACGAAAAGCGACAACAATGAAAATGTCATATCAATTTTTAATAAAGGATTATAAAAGACAAAACTGCTTAAATTTTTTTTTCATGAAAGAGTACTACGAATTCGACGTGCTACGGCGTGAGCCTATGACAGTGCCGGAATTCTGTCAATCTCTTTGAGCGTTTTTTTAATGGTAAATTAATTAAACAATAAAAAAAGACGCTCAAAGATAATAAAACATGAGTCCAGCGTTTCCCCGTGCGTCACTTACTCTCGAGCTTGTCACAGTTGGTGACCTTGCCCTTCCAGTCGCAGGTCTGTTTGTCCAAGTCAAAAGCCAATCCACTAGGACACGTGATTTGCTTGAGCCCGGATCTTGTACACCTAGAGGGTCAAAAACGCAGGGTCTTGAGTCTTATGTTTAAATATAATTAATCTTACTCTCAAGTTGATCACAATTCTTGACATTTGTTTTCCAGTCACAAGTTTGCCGTTCGATGTCAAAAGCTAAACCAGTTGGACATTTAACTGATGCTAATCGAGTTACTCCAATTTCACTAGCTTTATCGCACCTGCATTGTTAAATTTATCATACAAAGTTTTACATTTATTTTTTTATTTCAAATTTTATCAGTGGAAAAAAATTTATTGTTATTTAAAATGTTCAATTTATTTATTCATGACCAAAACTAATACTTTCAGAGATTAAATTCCGGATATTTATAAGGAAGAAATAAAATATATGAGAGATAAAGAATTGAAAAATAAAAATAATTCAAGGATTTTATCCCATCGGCGTCATTGCGTGTTTGTACTTTTTTATTGTTATTTTTAATTTTACTTGAATTCACTTGATAGCCTTGAAAAAAACTGAATTATTATGATTCACGAACCAGTTTTTCGTCATTTAATAACACCAAATTTTACAGATATATATCTATAAACTTTAAATAGTTATAATAAATTTATCGTGATTATTTTTTAAATTTTTGCTTAATGTGACGATAAAAAATAATTAAAATTGAATTGATAATATTTTATTACTAGTTGATATTATTTTATTAGTAATTGCTTTCTTACCTTACGACATCGCGACAATCACCATCTGTGCTTAGTCGGAAGTATTCATCTCCTGGCCGATTATCACAAAGTTCTTCTGCGTTGGGACTCTGATCATCTCCAGAGTCATCATCTTGCGCTCTTACAGAAACTAAATAAAAACAAGAAATTGAGTAATTAATTCTTATGTATAGATAAATTTTCTACGTTAACCAAGGGCCAGTTATCCGAGATAAAAGTACTGCCAATAGAATGATAAAAATAAATAATTCAGCATAGTGATATTGTGTACGAGTAGTTCTTCTTGAATTCAATCACTTATTTTTAATTAAAATAAATAAACATTAGCCGCATGTCACAGAAATATTAATCTCCAACTGTGACAACTTGCTGATTTTAAATAAATAAAATAAAAATTAGGAAAACGGATGACCCTGAAGGCCATCCCTCTAACTTCCCGGTGTAATTCCATATCTAAGCGCTTGAAATTGCACTTGTAATGTTATCGAGCTCTTCGAGCTCCAAATTACAATATTTATGTGTTATTTTGAGCTCTCCGAGCTCAAAGCGGTCGCTGTTCTATGCTTTTGTGCTCTTCGAGCTCATATCTTGCGTTTGATATATCTATTATCAATCTATAATTGTGTTAATTAATTTAAAAACCATTTAAATGACACAACAAGAGGTTATTATTATTTTTATTACGCTAAATTTTTTATTTTTTTTTATTATATTGACAGTACTTTTATCTCGGATAAAATTTTATCCCAGATTGAAAAACTGGCTCTAAACGTTTGAATTAAAGCAAAGGCTCACTAAATTAAGAATATATATGTTCAATAAATCAACAAAAATAGCAATCAATTTTTCAATAAGTGTCATCGATACAGAAATAATAAACAGCTATATAATCAAAATTTTTCTGTAAATTGCTCAGAAGTTATTCAATATATCAGTGTTATATGAATTACAACTATCTTATAATGATGAAAAAATCATTTCACTGAATAAAACAAGATTGCAGGGTCACCGAACTCTCTCGATGAAGTAGAAAGTCTTGGAAATGTCAGGGCAACAAGTCGGTAGGGGAAAGCAACAGTGGTTCTCCAAAGTAGGTTCGATCGAAATTCACTTATTAATTGATTTATAAATTAAACAATTATAAAAAACGAATTAATTATTTTATTTTTACTTCTATAACTCTCTATTTTTAATTTACATTCTAACTTTAATTAATTTTTCTATTGTCACTATACAAATTGTAGAGAAGCAATTCATGAAGAAGCAAGTTTGATAAAAGGGGTAAAAAAAATCTTAATAGGGTGAAAAAAAAATATTACTTAAAAAATTTATAAGTATGTGTTATTATTAAAGTGCAAGTACTCACCGGCAAATATAGTTAAACATCCTAGAAGAAATAATAACTTTGGAGACATGATCTTAGTCGGCAGGACAGAAAACGTCTGGACAGCCGCACCCTCTTGCCCCGCTATATGAGGACCACCACTCCTTCGCGCTTCAATAAGAGGACTTTCACCGTCTGGATGGTGCTGCCATCGTTTATTGTCATATTTTAAAGATATTTTATTGTTTTTACGACTTTTACCATTCTTTAAATGTCTAATAGATTGTTTGTTAGATAAAAAATACCCTACATTATTATTTACTGTTACTTTCGGATTTTTATTTCACTTTTAATAACTCATTATGTATATACTCCAATGATTGGCTTACAAACAACGCAACTTACCAAACAATGTAAATTTGAAACGAATTAAAGACGTTTTAGTTTTAATTAAAGTTTTCAATCCAAATTTTATATTCAACTATTTATTGAAAAATATTTTTTTTTTATTGTGCAACGTAAGTTGAATGGTACAAATTTATGACTTCATTACAGTACATAGAAGTTTATGTCTAATCGAAAAATATTGATAGCAGTCCTTTGACTCTTTTGTTTACGAATAAAGATTTTATTTTGTTGGATTGAAATGAATAAATATTTCTCCGCCCAATTAAATTATCAAGATGAATTTTTTATTTATTCAATTAATCAGAGAAGCGGTTTATTTATTAAAGAAAAAAAAAGTATAAAAGTTCTGATTTGAATTTAACAAATACATGTTTTAACAAAACTTCTTGAGATTATTAGTTTTTCTCTTAATATAAGTTTGTTCTACAAAAATAAGGTTCTAAAAAAAGATTGTTGTTTCATATAATTAATATTCAATCGATACCTTGTTTTTATCAAATAAAATATCCATTGAATTGTAGAATAATACATCCTTATTATATTTCAAGCTTTTACCGACATTTGGATAAGAAATGATTAAAAAAAAAGTATATTTTGTATAAATGATAACAAAAAAAAAAATAAATAGATTCAAAAACCGGTTATATATAAAAAATCCTCTGAGTTCAGTGGATGAGTAATTTTCTAAAGCAAATTATTTGTTTTTTTTTTTTTTAATTTTATGAGAAGAAACTACTTTTGCCTTCTAGAAATAATCGTTGTCACGAGTTAGTAGTCAAGAAAACAAACAATGAGCTATATACTCTTTCAGTTGAAGGTTCAATAAATGTCAGTTAGTGCCAACTGGCTTTTAAAATGCTTCGACGATACGGCGCCTTCTTCAGATTAGGTACACTGACCTACACTTATCCTTATTTCCTTTCATTTTGTATATTCCGTTAACTCTCAACTTAACTTTAAGAAGAAAATTAAAATTCTTTAAATAAACACTATTTACATTTTAAAAGTTTAAAAAAGTCATAAAAATAGGTAAAAGTTCAGTTAAAAAAACAATTTTTGATGAAATTTATCAACACACTTAAAAATATCAATATAAAATTTATATTTTATTTTTATTATTTGATACTATTAAAATTTTGATTATTATAATGAATAATATATATATATTATTCACTTAGCGGCCTTATTGCTATTTTTTGTGTTTCGTAGTTTTACCTGAAAGCACCTAAGAAACCCACCCCGGCAGATTCCAGGAATTTTAGCGGCACGTTCGTAAATTTCTTGCATTCCACAGTTTTGCTTGAAAGCACCCGAGATATTTCTTTCGGAAAATTTAAGGAAGTTTTGTAAATTTTTCGTATTTTAACCTGAAAGCACCCGAGATACTCCCTTCAAAATTCAGGAAATTTAACGGTCTTTTTATTATTTTTTCTATTCTGCAGTTTTATCTGAAATTACCCGAGATATTCCTTCCGGAAGAAAGAGTTTCAGGAGTTTTAGTAGCACTCTTAAGAGTCTTTAACATAATAAAAATAAACAAAATTCGTTCATTTTCGTTCAAAGTAGATGTCAACATTTTTATTTTTATTTTATAGTCCGTTACATGGTCTTTACCAATTTTGAAATACTCCGTAAATCTTTTCCGCTCAAAGTTCCGGTTAGTCTTACACAGAAAAAAAAATTAACTTGATTCAAGAGGAAAATTCTTGAACCAAGAATATAAATTTGAAGAGGGTAATTGTTTTGAATCAAGACGAAAAATTCTTAAATTAAATAAAATTTCCTTAAATCAAGAAAAATTTTCTTAAATCAAGAATTTTTCTACTCAAACCAAGAATATTGAGCTCTTCAAAAATATATACTTGATTCAAGAACATTTTTTTTTCTGTGCATGAGCGGACGGTTCCAAATGCGGGATTCCTCAGGGTGAATTTTTTTTACACGGGTAAAAATAAAATTGGAATGTTTAATATTTCTGATGGTATACTAAATGATAAATTCTATGTACGACTGCAAGAGATGATCAAGATGAATAAAAGTACACAAACTGTATACATCTGTGAAATCTAATATTTTTTTCTCTTTACTTGCATCTTTTTCCGATCTATAACGTGCACCAAATTATTTATTCTTTTATTCCATCTATAAAATTATATAGATAACAGGTTGTCAACTTTCTCAAAATGAATCAGTGGAATTTCACTGATTCCAACCAGTGAATGAAAACTTTACTAGTTGAATCAGTGGATTGACTGGTTGGAATCAGTGAAATTCCACAGATTCATTTTAATAGAGAAGTTTTTGAACAAAAAAAATTAATTTATGTCAGAATTATTTATTAACTGATAGAAAAGCTAACTAGACTAAAGAGAAATAATCTTGAATCAAGGGAATTGTATTCGAGAAACTCAAAATCTTGATTCAAGAATTTATTATTTTGGCTTATTATTAGAAATTAATATGAAAGTATGTTATCTTTAATCGATTCAATAAAATTCTTCGATTAAGAACAACGTTCTCTTGAATTAAAAATAAATTATTTTTTCATTTCTAAGAGATTTGCATTTTTATTATGAGTAGTAAGGTTCTTCGCTCGATATGTTATCATGCAGCTTGAGCAAAAAAGTTTGAAATAAGGAAAAAAATATTTTCTGAAATTAAATAATTTTTTTCAAGAGACAAATAAGTTGAAGGAGCGATACTCGCTTTTAATTATACACTAATATATAGAATTTGATCAATATTGAGTAATCAAAATCAATGTGTGAAATTCATAATTTTTTTTTAATTCTCAATTATCTATACTTTAAAAATCGATCTCAGATAATAAAATAAAAATAATAGAACCATTTATTAGAATTGTCAGTTATTTATATATACGGAATATAAATATATAATTTATTGTTATTAATGACATGTTGATTGAAAAACGTAGGTGTCAATAATAAAAAAAAAAAAAACAAAAAAAAAGAAGAGTAGGAGAAGAGAAATGTACGTAATACTAAAAACGGATGGATATGTGTGCATCCTGTTGATATTTTTTTTTCATCAGATACTTGTACCTGTCGATGCATCATGCCAAGTAGGCGAGTTTAATTATACATGCACCTCTCGTATTTCGAAATGGCGCTCCCTTGATATTATTCGACCCACAGTGGCTATCAATATGACACTCCTTGAAGCTTTTAACCACGCGACAGTGAACTTTTCACCTGAAGTGCTTGTAATGTTTAACATTTTGTAACAGAATAACTTTTTTATAACTGATTTTTTTATAATTTTTGCAACAAATAAATGTTTTAAAAAAAATCTCGGCTATTTTGTATCTTGTTACTGAAATAAATGAAACAATTTTTTGTTCATGAACAATAGTAATAAGAATAATTAATAAACTGAAATTACAATGGTAAATTATTGTAGCTTTTAAGGTTTTTATTGATTATACCGTGATCATAAATATTAGACGCATGCGTCATGTATGCAAGAAAATAAGGAAATAAAAGGAGTTAATGTGCTAAGAAAAAAGAAACGTATCACTTATGACGAAGAAATTGCGAGAGTGAATAAAGCACGAGGTGATCAAGAGGGAGTAGGAAGTTAATAGCCTATATATCTACCGGTGGTTTACCTTCGATGCAATCTTAGAGTACACCATGGCCTTCCGTTATTACAGTTGTACTTCGCAGAACTTTAACAAACAAATAATTCATTCTTGGTCATTTTGAACTTACATCTTAAATAGAGTTTATATCATACTCACAATAAGTAGATAATTACTCATTATAGTTCTTATATTAAAAATTTTATTGTTATAAAATATAGGAATAATTCAAGTAGTAATCTCTATTTATTATAATTAGAAACGTATTTTCAATCGTAAAGTGTATCTCGTGATGAAAGTATGTCAGTTGACCCGAATTTTTACTATACATCACCTTTCTAAATTAACCTTCGAGATGTCGGTATATCGTCGTCGCATCGTATCGCGTCGATTTCCAATTTCATCGAGAAACGTCTCTGCTGCAATGGAAAGTTCGAATGGTTTATCCACTTGTAATCTAATTCGATCCTGAGATCTCATAGTTACATACTAATTCTTAGATTACCATTATGTTACTCTTGTTATTGATGCTTCAATAACTTGCTTATTTCATCTTTTATGATTAGATTATTTATTTTATTTATAGACCAATTAATTATAACTGTTGAACGATCGTAAATAAATTGGAAAAATGACATTATATACTTGATAGCATTATAGTTTTTTTTTTTAATAAAAACAAGTTATTATTTTTTTCAATCTAAAAATTAGAACACCTTTCATTTTAAAAATCGGTTTTAAATTTTTATAAAAAATTTATGTAATTATGGTATTAATTTTTTTTTTTAAATTACTCTACCTTTAATGAACTTTAAGAAAAAAAAAAGTCTCAACTAAAATTCCATAACAAAACTGCAAAAGTTTCTATTTCTTAGGTTTATAATCTGAGTTTTTTATCTAAAATTTTCAAGTACTGTTAATCCATCAGTTTACAGTCTGAAATTAGCTAAAAAATACAATTATAAAAAAGCAACCAATTTATTTAATGATTTTTCAAACCATTAAATTGAAAATCGACCAAATTATAATTATAAGACAATTTGATGTATTTTTCATGAACATATCTCGCCTCGTATATACAAACTAATGAGAATTCATTGCACATACTCAGGCGGATGTGCGAGTTCGCGTACTAGCACGCTAGATTTTTTTTATTTACCTATACATAACAGTTTATCTCCATTTATCTAATACTGAACCGGTTGAAAAAAAATACAAACTACTTTTATAATATTTATAATTTATTATTTTATTATTAGTACTGAGAATTTTATTATTATATCAAGTTTGTAATCTTACAAATTTCGTCTCATTCGTTTGGTTAATATTAATATACATGGACAATTCATACATGCTTAATGTTGGACGAAATTTTATTGCTATATTACACTAGGAGTTTGAAGAGAGATTTGGGATAAAGTACGGCACTTTGTGTAATGGTTTTGGAGTAGACTGAGTTATTGTCTATTTCTTACTTAGGTCAGAAAGAATTAATTATCTGCTTTATTTCTGCGTCTGCGGTAAACTACTGGAGTATTATTATATAATGTTCGATTGAGTTTGCTTTTTTGACTTACACAAATGACTGTTGTTTTATTGTTTCATGCTTGGTTATAAATTTTTGCGTAGCAATATAAAGCTGCTTATGATTCAATATCGTTAATTTAAAAATAATAATTAATTTTTACGTTTCATTGTAAGTTGTTATGATTATGATTTGGTTAATTCTTTCACTCGAATATCCTAAGATCTTTTGTACACAAAAAATTTTCTGTCAAATATTCAGAACATTTTTGTTTATTGATTCTATACAATTGTGTTGAATCAACTCGTAAAAGTGTTAAACATGTAGCAAAAAAATTCTTAACACACACTTTTTTTGACGTTATGATGGAAAATTTTTTACTGTGTAGTTATAAGATGAGATTTTCCACAAAATTGATCCACTATGTGAGAAAATAAGTTTAGTCAATATGTAATAAAGAAAAAGTAAGCTAAAATAACTAAAAAAGATAGTTTGTTAAAATGATATAAGATTTGTTTTACGTAATACTACTTACAGTGCCCGAGTAAGAGTTTATATCTGGCGCTTGATGAGACAAATAAGATCCTTGCTGTTATGGCTCGACAAACAAAGTTTGGTCTATGTTTTTTTTTTGTTTTCTTTGCAATGTAGTACATAACTCTCTATAAGTTGAGTAGTATTTGACGGCAATTTCCTGTCTAAGCGACTGACAGAGACATAAGTAAAATCGTGTAATCAAATATAATACAACGTAAACATGGTGTACATAGTTTAGATCAATCCATAATAATTTTAATTT